GTCATTTTTTTTTTTTTTTTTAAGTTTTGGCAAAATGATGTTTTAAATAATTTATAGGGCTGTCAGTCGATTAAAATTTTTTATCTAATTAATTACGTGTCGATTAATTAATCTAATTGTGAAATTACCCCCAAAAGATTATTTAAAGCTATTTTTTGTGTTAAATGAGAAAGTATTAAGTAGACATTACAAATAGTAGCTTTAGAAAGAATTTTTTTTTTTTTTATTCAACATAAAATGTATTACACGTTCAGGCTACAAAGGCCTAACATAAACTATGGAACATAGAAGATAATTTGAGAAACATCTATTTTTTTTTTCCGTTCATGCAATAGGAAGTCATTGGTAACCAAAACAGATTTGTTACCAACAGACTTCAAAATACCTTATGAGTCATTCATTCATTCATTCAAACGGCTGATTCATTCAGGAATTCAGTAAATGGCTCTCTTTATAAAAGGACCATTGAATCATTGGTTCGACTGATTCATTCAAATGTGGATTCATTCAGAAATGAATCACTGGTGACTGGACACTCATTTATGACACTTTATTCACCAGGAGGAACAGCTCGTTCTGCGTGTCATACGTCATTACGCTATTTCTACGTCACTGCACATGCGCAGTACTTTCCAGTTTCGGTTTTCAATCCGATCAAGTGTTTACATGTCCTCTCGCTTGGATTACAAAACGAATAAACCAATCAAGTGTTTACATGTCCTCTCGCTTGGATTACAAAACGAATAAACCACCCCTTACAATCCGATCGAAATTTTAGTCGGATCTGGCCAATTCAATCCGATTGACGTGGGTTACATGTGACTTTTTTTTATTCTGATTGTGCTTCTAGTCCTATTACAATCGGATTAGTAGGGTCCATGTAAACGCAGCTATTGGTTCAGTCGTTTAAAACGCGGATTCATTCAGAATCACTGCTGTGTTGCTCACAGACGCACAACAGTTCTGCTGTGGCTTTATAGCTAATATTTTTGTTGCCAAACTGAGCAAAAACAGACAATATTGTGTTTAAAATATATGACACAATATTAACTTCTTATTTACTGAACTTTTGTGTAAAATCAAATTTGGGACAAATGTCGCTTGTCATATGATATAATTTAAATATGAGACAAAAACTCATACAGGAGCATTTTTGCCCAAATATCTTGAATTATAGGGCATAACTGCATTTATGGAGTTGTTGCCCTGCATCATATCAAAGTCCCTTTCTATAGTCTTTGATCATATTTGTCAACTGTATGAAATGTAAGATTACGTACAGGCATGCGGGGCCAGTGCATTAACTGCGTTAAAATATTTTAATCGCGTTATTTTTTCATAACTAATTAAGTTAACATGTTAAAATGACAGCCCTAATAATTTATAACATTTTTTGGAATACTGATGGTCTGGGCCCATTTTGACATTGTCTGGTGACCCTTCTACAAAAACTTTGGGGGAAATCATGAAGAATGTTACCAGATTTCTTGTTGTGGTTTTTCTCCATCCTGTCCAGATTCTGCAGAAGATAGTCAACCTTGTGTTTGATTTGAGCAAGCTCTCTCTTAATAGTTTGAAGGTCATCTGCTTTCACTGAAAAAACAAAACCAAAACCTGAATGCATGTACAAACTGACAAGCCAACTAAGGTCAAAAATGTAAAATGAGAAAAGGCAGACAAATGACAAGCAGACAAAAATCAATCAATGTTTATTTTTAATGCATTTGTCACTGACAAATTAACATGAACCCCTATAGTGAGGGAGAATAATTTAAAAAAGGCACTGACAGGTTCGAGAAGACATCCGTTGGCTGCTCTTGGATGAAGTGGAAAAGCTGGACTTGGCGCGGCGGCTGGTTCCCCCACTCACACTGACCCGCGGACGTTTGGAAGGGATCACAGCCCGTGAGAGAGGTGGTGGTGGTGGTGGAGCGGGCACACGGGAAGGGTATGAATACATTCTGCACAACACAAAGCAGATTGAAAAGTCAGCACACATTTATAAATCCACACTGGCACAGTGTTTGTGCAGATCTTACCTGTCATAGTAATCTCTCTGGAAATCATAATCAAGCTCGAAAGTAGAACTACTGCTGGAAAGATTTAAGAAAATGATTAAGAGATTTTGGCAACACAACAATTGCTAATTTAAAGGGGTCATATGATGCGATTTCATTTTTTCCTTTCTCTTTAGAGTGTTACAAGCTCTTGGTGCATAAAGAAGATCTGTAAAGTTGCAAAGACTAAAGTCTCAAATCCAAAGAGATATTCTTTATAAAAGTTAAGAGTTAGCCACACCTACCTAAAACGGCTCGTTCGAACACGCCCCCACATACCTACCTCACTATGTGGGAAGATTTGCATAAAGCCGCCCAAATGTTCACGCAAAGAAAGAAAGCGTAACGTGCTTCCTTGTGAAAGCGAAACTACTTTGTTTGGCCTTCCAAAAATGGACACGACTAGAAATCAGTGGTTAAGTTGTATTTACAACACTGTTCCAGAACACTTCGACCCAAATATTTAGATGTATGCAGCACATTTTATGGAGGACCGTTGCTGGCCAATCACAGCACACCTTGCTTTTTCAGACCGATGAGCTTTGTAAAAATCGACGCGTTTCAAAAAGGCGGGGCATAGAGGAGAAACAATAATGTACAGTATGTGGAAAATAATGTGTTTTTTTTTACTTTAAACCGCATAAACACATTTCATTACACCAAATACACAAAATAATGTTCTTTTTAGCAGTATCATATGACCCCTTTAAATAAAACAATAAAATGGGTGAAAATACATAAGAAGAAATGTTTTCCTTACCTGTACATATCTCCGGCCGATCGCTTTGTTGTATTTGACCTGTGAGGTTTGGGCTCTCCTGCCAAATTAATATCTGATGGAAAGACAAGGTGATTGCTCAATTAAGAGGGAAAATATTAAAAGACAGCCTATGATTCTTTTTAATGTCCTCACCAAGCACTTGTCCAACAAACATCCGGCCGTCCTCTCCTGCTACAGCCGCTCGTGCGTTCCTCTCGTTGGCGAACTGGACGAAGGCGTAGCCCTTGTGCACAGAGCAGCCAACAATCTTGCCGTATTTGCTAAAAATGGCTTCAACATCTGCCTTGGTAACCAGCATAGTGTTCAAGTTCCCGATGAAGACTCTTGAATTCAGGGACCGTGGGTCTGTCTTATTTGTGACATTGCTGGCCATCAGCTGACTAGTGCTGGGAGAACGACTAGGGCAGGAATAAAAAGGAAGAAACATTAGTATATTTCCAAAGGGAAAGCAATACTATTCCTAAATCATTTATATTCAGAAATCACACACAATATTTGACATGGAAAGAAAGTGTTGATGACTGTGACTCACTCCATGGCGTCGGTACAGCGCAGTTGTCTGTTTGTCAATGTGAGCAGGCCGAAGTGTAGATTGTTCTCAGCCAAAACGACAATACCAGCACTCAACCAGTGAGCAGCACCTCCAACAGCCTCCAGCGGTGGTAAAATTGGCTTAAAATTGAGATAAGAAGACACAACATTAAAATTGGACATGGTTAGTTTGGTTTTAATCAATGCACTTCTGTTTTCAAATAGATGTGCACCAACAACTCATTGGATGCTACAAACTCTGAATTGCTGGCAATATGCAGCTGCTTTCCAGTCTTAGGGTACAGTACATTCTATCAATGGAATTCAAAGGAAGAATTTTAAAATTTTAATCTCAGATATCTTAAAGTGAAATGTTTACAAAAGCCCAAAATACAAACATATACTTAAAGGCTACTATTAGTATACACATACAGAGTGGTCTTGTACTGTGCGTTAATTAAAAAAAAAGAAAGGAAACGAAAACATTTGGCTTCATTGTTCAAAAAACTAACACAACAGACTACAGATATGATACAATATCGGTAAATCTTTAACTTTGACCTAAAAATCCCCAGTGCTACCAGAGCTGCAGTGCTGTTTGGGTTTTTGTGCTTGTGGTCGCGATATCACAACGAACAATACAATAGAATGTGAATGTTCGTATTTATCCCGCCGCAACAACGTGGTTTGGTTTCTTTTCATTGAAATAATTGATGCAAGGCATCGCGACTCAACAAAACCAAACACACGTGCAGAGATCCGTGAAATGTGAAAACCCTCGTAGTAGACAAAGAGGACAGACAGCACTGCATAGAGCGCTGCTCGGCCTAGACACTCAGAGGGCGGCGGTATAACGGATCTTTCCGTAAATGCACGAAAAATAAGCAATGGTCATTGCTGAAAAAAAAGAAAGAATACAAAACCTACTCACCGAATATTTAAAATGCGTTATTTGGGAAGCATCAATATTCTTACACTGCCTGCAAAGTAGTAGAAGTAGTCAATCTGCGACGACATAAAAGCTGTCCACACATTTTTCAAGTTAAAAGTCATCAGCTTTATTTTTGTAATAAGCCCTCCTCGTGTAAACCACGTAACGTTGACCTGTCTCGTGATCTTGAAAAAAAAAAAAAAAAACTATATTAAGTTTAATGTTTTAACGAGGGATTTTAAGCCGCCGTTGTGCCAACTGACAAGTGAGTAAAGGCTTGTATTTTGAAAGAATCAAGACTTTTCGAGACGCATCGCGCGCCCTTCACACATACAGGCATTCATCAAATGGATAAATTACATTTAAATTGGCGGTCATGGGCAGTGTTTATGTTTCGGTTTTTAATTTTTATTTTTGGGTATGTAGCCTACTATGACTGTCAATGGTATTATAACGATATATATATATATATATATCATATGGACAATAATTTGTTGCCAGAGGAGGATGGGCTCCCCAGTTGTCTTGTTTTTCTCAAGATTTTTCTCTCTAATATCTAAACATCGTATACAGGTTTTTATACAGGTTTTGGCTTGGTCACTGGGGAATTAGAGATTTTTAAGTCTCTAAAATGATTTCTTGTAAAGCTTAATGATTATATCACTGGGACCTACATTTCTGTGAAGCTGCATTAAAACTATGTATTATGAAAAGCATATGACCTAAACATGATATGACTTAAACATGAGTGAACAGTACATTAGTCCCGTGAACCTTTTTCGTATAACATTTTCCTCTCTGTACTCCTCGAAATTATGGACATAAAAAGCAACACACTATGAATTTTCCTGAAAATCAAATGGGCCAGTAGAATTTAAACAACTTATTTATGCAAATTACTAGAATTCATTATTTCATTATAATTGTCTTTCATAAGATTGATCTGCATGCAAAAAAAATCTCAGATATTGCAAGTAAGATTTGCAGTCGTTCTTGTATTTTATTTTTTCCTTTACATTTTGTTTTCAAAATAAATACTGCTCCACAAACTTTAAAGTTCAATTCTTGAACTGTTCAAAAGCAAGAAAATTTCTTTCTGTGGTTTCATTTCATTTTTATACATTTCATTAGAAGTGCTTCATTCCAAATAATAGCATTGACTAGTATAAGCTTAATAATACCAGAGAAAACAGCACCAGTGTAATAGTATTCACAATTTACAAGCAAGTCAGCTACATTAGTTAACATAAGCAATTAACACTTCTACAGCATTTATTAGTAAATAAATGTTGATTTAAATACATTTTAAATCAAAAGTTCTCTTAACATTAGAAACTGTAATCTAACATCAATGAACATTTTGTATTTTATTAACTAACATAAATTCTATAAAATACATTGTTCATTGTGATTGTGTAGCTAATGCATTAACTGATGTTAAAGTTAATGTGACCTTATTATAAAGTCTTTTTTTTAGATTTTGATCACATGGTTTTATGCTAAATAATTAAATGTCATGACTGTACATGATATGTCCCCTATTAGGCAATTTTGGATTGTTTGTGGAAAACAAATATATAATAGAAATAAATTATGTGTAATTTATTTTCTGTCTAACCACAGGATGCACAAATAGTGAAAGAGAATACAAGTATCTGTTACCATCCATACAACTAATTAAATAGCACTAATTAATACATAAACTATGATTACATAATGATTGATGGCCTTAAGTTGGTTACACAGAAAATAAATTCCTCCTGTATTTATAGTAAATAAAGGCACTTGGTCAGAAACAAAAGAACAGATTTTTCTCTCTTTTTTTACTGCACAATCCGTACATGTTGTCTGAACTGAACTGAAAGAACACAATATTGCAGCGTGGGATAACTCAGATAAAAAAAATAAAAAATACATGCCAGTGATAGGACATTTTGAGCAGACAAGTGAGAATGAGAAAATGAACATTAACAGAGACTAATGCTTTTAATTTCAGTGACAATTAGGGTTGTAATCCAAAAAAAAAGTATTCATTTAATTTTTCCATTCATTTAAAAGTATTTTGTCTTGTACAATATAAACCTCTGCGTCAAATACCAATTAAATTTAGACACCCTTTGAAAGAGTAAGGGTTGAAGATGATTTTTTACAGGTTTTTAATATTTATATATATATCTTTATATATTTGTATATACATATAGTCATTTAAGTTATTCTTCTCATACAAAAAGAGAAAAGTTGATACTTTATTCCCCTCACAAAAGGAGGAGGAAAAAAGGGGCAAAGTAATTTAAGCTCCTTACCCCTCCCTGCGTACCCCACAAGTGCTATCCCTCCCCTGCCATTGACCCATCCTTCTGAAATGAATCATTCCTTTCCACATGCAAGTCTCAACAGGCCACAGTCCGTCCATGTTTGCTCTTAACCAGCTGAATCCAAATACTGACAAAGAACAGACACCATTTTTATGAAAAATGGGTTGTGAGGGCTTAGCCTTTCTCTGGCAAACACGGGACATTCTGCTACATTTGATCCTCGCCATATAGTTAGGCAAAGATCTTGAGGATGCGTATTCAAACAAAAGACAAAGGAAGAAACATGTATTCAACAAATCACTGGCTCTGAGCACATCATCGTCTTTGCTCTCAATTTTTACGAGATAGGGCTGAGAAGACGACTGTAGTCCGTGGAGAGTTACATTTTTAGCCATTAGGAATTTCTACAAGAACTCCATCCAGTATCTCCACCCAAGTGCAAATCCCAAAACCAAAGAGCTGGTGTCAAATCTCTATTCAATTTAAAAGTCCACAGTAAGTTTGGGGAATTGCAGGGCAAAAAAAAAAAAAAAACTAAATTAGCAAAATTAACACATTTAATCCAAGTATTGCATGCCCCCTAAGTGCACACTCGTCTTAGAGATTCAAAACTCAAAGCAGATCCCTGATTAAAGTGCACTCCGTAGCATGGGAGAGAGAGAACGGAGCAAAACAGCCAGCTCTGGAGCCAGATTAAGCAGCTCTGGCTCATCTTCTGAGTCTTCAGTCAGATCTAAGAGAGCATGATTGACCTCAAGAAAATTAGCTGTGCCTGGCTTCAGCAAACACACACACACACACACACACAGGAGAAGAGGTCAAAGACAAGACAGGATTGGACGGCCAGACGGCTCATGACGGTCTATCACTGCGATGAACAAAGATTGCAGTCCAAAAATAACAAACGTCAGCTCAGTCTTACATAGAGACGTAAGCAGTTCAGATCACTGGAGAAAACTGATGAGGCCAGTAAAAGATGGTGCTGGTTTTTAGAACAAGTAACACTCATCCTCTCAGTAATCTGCATAAGGACCAGCTTTGAGTGTCCGTACTGTTCTGTCATGCTGCGGACACATCGCTGTGAAAGAAAAGCTTCAAGTGGGACTGTTTACTACAGCACAGATGAGAAATGTCCTCTTCTGCGCCTCACGACTGCTGCAGCAAAATGCTGCTTCTAAAATTCGTGGTTGTTGATAAAACAGTAGAGGTGATATTTCTCGATCACCGGCTGTATTCTTCCTTGTGATACGCTGTAAAACTGGGAATGAAATGCGCCTGTGTCCAAGTTCATGTAAAATCAGAGTGGTTAACTGCATGTGTGGTTGCAAATATATCAAAAATACGAATCTCAGTATCAGTTCTTCCCCTAGTGATGTCATTTGTGTGTGTGGAGCATAAAGCCAGATTTCAGTCGTTTCCCTCTCCCTTACATGTGTGTATGTATATATAAAGCTGTGTGTGTGTTTGTTGCTGGCCTTTCAGTGTCTATTTGTGTACCAGTGGGTTACTAGAATGTATGTGCTTAAATATATGGCAAAGAGCATGTGTGTGTGGTTCAGGAGGACATGCACTGCACATGGTCTGGCCCTCCTTCTTCTTCATCGGAGGAATCTGGCGAGCTCCAAGATTCGTCTGTGTCGCCCTCTCCTCCCTCCCCTCGCCGGGCCTACAAGGGGCAAATCATTGAGAAGCTATCAGTGTATAGTTTTTTTAATGGCTATGAAGAGATCAGATCATGTAGGATGAGGTTAGGTTCTTTTCTGACAGTTAAACCGATAGTTTGAAGAAGCATTACAAGGATATTCTATTTATAGTTTGAAAATGCATCAATAGTAGGTTAAGTGTAGGAGGGAACAAAAACGCTACCATTTGAGTGATTTCAATTTTAGATAGCAGCATGTTGCTTTGCACAAAGTAGAAAGCACTGTATCTTTAATACATAGAAATGGACTGGACTATATATTGGTAATGAAAATGATCCTAGAAATGCAAGTTCTCACCCGCTGAGGTCTTCGGTTTCTCATGTGTCTCATTAGGAACCAGAGGAGCTGTGTGTCATACTGGTCACCATGACGAACACTGTCTTCATCCCGTTCTCGCTTGTTCTTCTTCATTACCTAAATAGCCATGATAAAATATAAAACATTTGTTTTATTGCTTTTACCAAAAATATTTATTCACCTGTTTAAGTTTGCACTCAAAGTTTGTATACAATTTTTTTGGTTTTTGAAAGATATTTCTTCTAACCAAGGCTACATTAATTAACCAAAAATGCAGTAAAAATGTAATACTGTGAAATATTATTACAATTTAAAATAACTGTTTCCTAATGTATTTATATGTGATGGCAAAGCAGAATTTTCAGTTTTCAGTGTCACATGATCCGTCAGAAATCTAATATGCTGACATGATACTGGTATCTTTTTATTATCAATATTTTTGAGGAAACCATGATACTTTTTCCAGGATTCTTTCAATAAAAGGTCAAAAGAACAGCATTTATTTGAAATGGAAATCTTTTGTAAACATGTAAAAGTATTTAATGCTACTTTCAATCAATTTAATGCATCCTTACTGAATAAAAAGTATAAATTTATTTTTAATTAAATTAAAATATATAAATAAATGTGTGTGTGTGTGTGTGTGTATATATATATATATATAA